AGATAAGCAGGTTGCTTACCAGTAACTGGTGATCTTCGAGTGGTCATCTGTGCATTCACACCACCCGCCCTCCTTCCCCCTTGCTGTCAGCTTCTACATTTTTGAATAGGGGTTGATTTGCAGCGGTTTGTAGGAACTGGCGGGATTGTCCGCGCCCACCCCTCTGGGCATGCGTGGTGGGGTTCCTGCACATGCCCGAGGGACTGGGCGCGAAAATCCGTTAAAAGAGCTTGCTACAGCACCGATCGATCCAGCTCGTGCGCACTAGATCCCATGGGTGTGAATGCAGAGATGACCACTCGAAGATCACCAGTTACTGTTAAGCAACCTGCCTTTCATCCATCTTCTCTCCCTCACTTAGGTGGGGCAGGGCAACAATGGCTAAGGAAGGGAGGAGGTAGTACTGGTGCCACTCCTGTCCTATTATCCACCTGGCTTCCTTCTGCCCATCATGACCCCCCCCAAAAAAAACACTTAAGTTCTTCCTGACCCTTTTCTCCCCCTCCCGCCACCACCACCAATGCCTTCCCCCAGCTCATCCATTTGCCACCATCCCTACCACCCCCTCTTCTTGGCCACATGTAAATTCATTGCTTCTCTTGCCAGCAGTGGCCGTGGTAGTTTTCCCTCCTGGCTCAGCCAAGCATGCTACCTCCCTGCCATTGCTTGTGTATGGCAGGGCTCACAATGGAAGCTGATATCATGACACCAAAATTAAGCTTTCCCTCCTTGTAAGGTAAAGGTTTCTTATACTCTTAAAAATATCCCCTCACTTGTCCCAGGTCTCCTATATGAACATGCCCTCATTTTGTGGATTCTTAAATCTACGTTCTAGAGCCTTTGCTCAAAACTAGATATTTTACGGTGAGCAAGCATGCTGGATTGGAAGCAAGGCGACCAAATGTTTGTTCATTGACTCCAGGTAACCTGCTTCAGGCTACTGATGAGAAAAAGAATGTGGGGAATAGACCTCTACTTGCCATCCTCATAAATGGAGGAAGAACAGGGTAAAAAGGTAAGCTACACTTGAAGGCTCATAGAAGTTCACAAGGGACTTTTCCATGGTCTTTGGTTCCAGCCTGTTTCTGCTTCAGCAGTGCTACAGCATCTGGTCTTCTGGACAACCAAGTGGAATTTTAGGGAAGGAATTTAAGGCAGGATGGGCCTATAGTGCAGTTTATTTTGGAAATTCAATAGCTGGAGAATCATCATGATGGGAAAAAGCAAGGTAATATAGATTCAGAACTTTTCTTCAAATACCAATTAGTTCTGCACTGGAGAGTTAGATACTGAACATCTGTAGTCTTGAATTCATTTCATGATCCCAAATAATGAACATCTGTAGTCTTGAATTCATTTCATAGTACCCTATTTGTTGAACTGCTGTGATAACGTGAAAGCTAAAACATTCTATAGCGCTCAGGGTGAATGTGTTGTCAACAGCATCTGGTTAAGCAGCAGTGCTTCAGTGGGGAAAGTGAACATTCAGTTTCACCAAGACTGAAGAAGAGCTATCACGAAGGGAGCAGATGTTAGAAACAAGTGTTTTGTGCTGGATTCTGGACAGGCAAGATAAAGACTGGAACCATCTCCAAGACACGGGCAAACCAGAAGAACAGGAAAACCAAGGAAGGAGATATATCAGTAAATTTACACAGAATCCAGAGAGAATGAAGAGCAAAAGCTGAGGAAACTCAGCACCAAAAGGAGAGGGGGGCTGGGAAGACTTGGGGGCAGGGCTGCTGCTGCTGTGATGTTGGCATGGGAGAAACAACATGGATGTGGGGGGGGGCTTACAATTTAGAAACAAGGCCAAAAAAGTAACAGACTGCCTCAGGCAGGCTCTGCTGGAAAGGCAGCAACATTTTCTAAATAAATGAATCAAAAAAAGAACCAAGGAGACCTGGAAGCCCAGCAAGCCAGCAGAACTGAAGGAAAGAGACTGTAAGCAAACGGGAATCTAACAGAACAATGGGTAATGTAGGGGAAAGGGTAGCTAAGGATAATGCAGAGCATGGAGAACCTGACATGGGACCTAGGAAAGGAGGGGCTGTATTTTAGGGATAGGGAAGGAGGTAGGCAGGAGTGTTGGGGAGGTCAGAAGTGTGGGTGAGAAAGCGGAGACACAAGCCGCCACGTCTCAGGCTGTATATTGCGGCAGCACGTTTCTCCTAGTGGCTGCATACCGCCTCGAACAGAAAAATGGATCTTTGCAAATCGTGTAGTGCAAGACACAAGACTCAAACCCTCTGCGTGTGTGGTATTTTGTTTTTATTAGAAGTCTGGAATACAACAAGTAAGGAGATCCCATTGCCCAGAGACCCCGTCTTCAAAGTCCAAGATGTGCTTTGTTGCCTCCAACAGTAAGCATTTTAAAAAAAACAAAAACCCTGAACAAGGCCACTAGTTAATGGGGGAAGAAAGAAGCCGCAGAATCTAACTACACTATGCTGAAAACCTGCGCGCACACGCACACACACACACACAGAAAAAGAGGAAGCAAGCAAACCTCCGATTGCTGAGAGTAAGGCATCAGGTGCCAACCTGGGAAGAAGTCTCAGCAAGCACCCCAGAGAAAAGTGCACAGCTAAGCAGTATCTCATTGGGACACAAGATGTCCTAAAACAGAGACCAAGAGGGGGTTAAGAACAGCAAGTGGAGTATTGTGTTTCTGTACAGGTTTTATGCTGTGTCAGACCGGGTTGCAAAAGCCCCTTTTCCAGGAAGCAAGCACAGGATGATCTAGAATGAGGAGATGCAGCTTCTGCTGGTACAGATACAAAAGTACCCCAAAAAGTGCTTTTCACACAGGTAGGTCTAGGTCTGATATGCACGGCCACTTGCCCTCATGAGGAAAAGCCACCGTTCCACCAGGTGGCTACACAAACACCAGTGAGAAGGTTTAAAAAACAGCATTGGACTTCCCGGTGCATTAAAAGGCTTCAAGTTAATACTGTCAACTTAAGTTTGGGATCAAAACACCAACAAACATTAGGCTGCCAATCTGGCCTAGCTGCATTCAGTGTTGTGATCCTATTCAAATTAAAAAACACCTCCCTTTAAGCTGCCTACAAGCACTAGTTAAGCACCTCTTGTAAGTCTGAACACTTCCGATTCTGTTTTCAGGGGTAAAAGAGCAGTCAATCCCCTGTCCCTAAAAAAGAAGGGGGAAAGATGGGCAAAACACAGAAGAACATCTGTTTACTCTGGAGATGGAAATAACTGCCCTCAGAGAGTTGTTATCTGCATAAAGACAATTGACCAAAATGCTTCTTCCAAGATCTGTCATCCCTTACCAACCACTGCAGGAAGAAGCAGTGGCTACACCTTCCCAGAATTATTCTGACAGTTCTGCTGCATGGTCTTTCACCCCTTCTCTGAATGCACCACTACCCCTTGCTGTTAAGCCATCTGGGGCAAAGAGTTTTAAAAAAAACAGTGTGTAGGAAACAGGGAAAGGCAGTGCCCACTGCAGAGGTGAAATCAGACGAGCTCCCTTGAGTCCGAACACTATTCTGAGGAGAGGAAAAGCTATAACAGAACCAAAGTCTGCAAGCTGTGTTTTACAGTGTGCAACATTATTGTAGATATCAGAAGGAAGAGTGAAGCAATGGCAGTGTTACGTTGCAGCTCAGCAGACTGAATACAGGCTGCCTTCGCACTCCTGTGGTTCAGGAGCACGCTAAACAATCCAGAATGGATCAGCAGAGTGGACTGCCGGTCTCCTTCCCCTCAAGCACAACGCAACACTCACCACTCCCACTATCTTCCTCCCAATGTGTCCATTCCCCTTCCCTGGCTCACCTTCGAAACAGCAGATGCCCAGCACTAACAAGCACACTTGGATAAAGGGGATAGGCAGACCTAACAGAATGGCAAATCTGACAGGAGACCCCAGAGGTCAAGGGATGTGCTATGTTGTGCCTTAAAGCCAGCCACCAAAAACCCAGAACGCTGGTGCAACAAGCCATTGGGAAGTGTCCATAAAGGGAGAGAGCGCCTAGAAGGCTTTGCCTGTGAAGGAAGCAGAGCTCAGCTACAGACAGCGCCTTCTTTACCATCTGAACACACAGATGCCTGAATGGCAGCCCGATATCTAATATAAGTTGTAGGCATTTCAGTGCTCTCGCAAACCTTGTGCGCAGCCCCGAGGCCTATGGGGGTCTATGTCCAATGTGCACCAGCACTAGGAAGAACCTGCAGAGCCCGGATGCTTGACTCCCCAGGGGTTTCACCTGGCCCTCTCGCACTTGACAAAGTTCGTGCAAGATTGAAACAGTGTGTGGTACTTGCATGTTGCATTCTATACAAAACCCCTCCCTCCTCAGTTTTTAAAACATTTATATAAACTTTTTAATTAAACAGAAAATTAGAAATCTTATTTACATTTTTTTCTCTCTCTCTCAAAAGAGCATCTAAAATCAACTTACCTGAACAAGATACAAATCTTAAACTAGTTTTTTTAAAAAAACATTTCCAAGCCACCTCTCCATGACAACCCCTCTTATTTTCTACAAATAAATATGGCATTGAACAGAAGATGATTAAGAAAGGGCTTTCTTTAGCTTAGTCTATAGATCCCAGGAATTAGGTAGGGTTTAAGAACTTCTGGGTCTTCAAAACCAATTCACTCCAATGCTTGAGGTATGATTTTTTCTTCTGCACTAAAGTTAGAATTCCCATGAAGCTTCCACACCACCGCAGGTAAGAGGTGGGCACTGATGCTCACACCAGCTGCCTGGTTAACTCCTGGCTGCTCCCACAGTTCTCTTTTGGTTACAGTCCTGGGCGTCTGGCCACTTTCACTGCATCTCGTTCTCCGAGCAGCCTCCTCCAACTGTGAAGCGGAACTCCTGAAGGTTTGAAACGCCATGGAAGTGCACAAAGGCACCAGCCACTACAAACACGTGGAATAGCTGGTGGGAGTGGAACTGTAGGGGGGAAATGAAAATACTGCTTAGATCACAGGCATGTCCTGGTTTCCAAAATATCATATAAGGGACTGTGTTAGAGATTAGTTGAGAGAGGGTGAACAGTGCTAGCCTGCTAAAGAAAAGGCCACAACACTGGTTTCCAAACTGAGCAGCCATGTTTTGCGTGCACCAACTGGTGTAAATTTGACTCCCTCTGGCCCTGCAGAAGTTGGCATCGTTGGCTGGAGAACTGAACACAGGCAAGACTCAACAGACTCTGCATCCAAACAGTTGTATTTTTGCAGCTACATGGCATTCTCTCTTGTGGGAACCAGATATGCCAAGAATGAAAAATGCTGGCATATGAACAGTCTTTGAGACTGTTACCATGGGAAGAAGAGTCCACTAGGTTTCAGAGCTGGAGCATACACAACAGGACTCTGTTTTCACCGAGAACCAAACATCACGAGACGTTTCCAGGACTGATACTTCTTCTGTTCCCTTCTAGTTGTGCAGTTGTTTTTATTTGTCACTGCAGATAGGCAGCTGGGGACACAACGCCTTTAACACCCTCCTACCACACGGCCTGGCAGCCTTGTATACTCACCCAGATGTCACACTTGCCCGGGAAGAACCTCTCTGGGATGCGAGCAGCGTACAGGGCAGCACCAGTGATGTACAAACAAGCCATGAGGGCCAGCCAGCCAATCTGTCCCATCGTGGCAGCCTTAAGGAGCCCTTCTGAGATGACAAAGTGCAGTGTGGGGATAACCCCACTAAGGCCCAGAGCTAGAAACACTCCTAGGGGACAACAGGACAGATTCAGCCTCATGCACAAAGAACAAGGGGCATAAATGAGCAGCAGACTGCTAAAACTCAGGGCTCCAAGCATAGTAACAAGGCCCTTCGTGTGTTTTTTTTAAAGTGCAGTTTTCCAGTGTTCTGAAAGTGAACACTGTAGCATGACTAGCCAGCAAATACCTCCCTTTAAGACATTCAGTACAAGCTTACAAGGGAAAAAAACACTGGACACAGTTAACAGTGACCCTTGACAGGTTACTGAAAGAGAAAGAGAAGTGCTCGTGGAAAAAGCAGCTTCAATTCATTTTCTCTTCACTGCACGAAAGCAAGAATTACCTGTCCTCAGAAGAGCCCAGCCCACAAGTTTCTGCACAAGTAGCATTCCCAAGCATGTCCCAATTGGAAGAAGGAAAAGCAAAAATGGCGAGGCATGCAGAGAGGCAGCAAGTATTTTCCTTTATGTGTGTGTGGGAGTGTGTGTACTTTTGACTTAAACGGGGCCAAAATTTTCATTTCTCTCTGTACGTTAGTATTTTCACAGGATCTTTCAGAAGTAGAAGGAGGGAGTATGAAGGAGAGAATGCTGCACCCGATTGTCTCTACATCTAACACTGTAGCCTAAGATGACACTGCAAGAGTTCATATTACCTTTTTTTAAAAAGCTAAGTGCATGAATTTGCATTCAGCACATAGACACCTGTAATAGGGGGACCATAGCTTCCTATCATACAGAATACAACAATTCTAAAAATGTACTTTGAGAATTGTACAAGCTAAACACATCTGTGCCATCCCAAAGACTACAGCTTAAATCCTAACCATGGGTTTCGCTTGCAGAAGGCACTTTCACTAATGGAAGGGGAGAGATACTTTTTGCCAGCCCTCTGATCCAATAACACCCCCCCCATGCTCTTCTTGGATATCTATTCCACTGTCCTTCTTGTGGGGGTACAGCAGGCTGCAATGGAGGTGGAGTGCAGCATCACTCTGCTCATACTAGACAGGATCCAAGTTTGATTAATTGTGGCACACGTTCTGCAGACTAGAGCACATCAGAAGCATGATGTGGCCCTTATGTGCACATGCACATACAGACATGTACCAAGAATTTTAAAAAATCATAGGCTGTTTGTATTGGGTGTATGTGTACCCACCGTACCAAGTAAGAATCACCCAGCATGCATCTGACACAGTGCAATCTAGTCCACTAAAATTTATGTCGCAACCAATCTCCTAATCCTGAAGATTATTGTTTCTGCCACAACAAAATAAGCATGGTTAGCCCCCCTTGAATTTGGCATTACACAAGCACAACTGACAGTTTAACTGTATCCAACATTTAAGAGCCACAAACTCCAGTAATCCAACCAATGAAACTTTAGAAAAGGCTTTACACCGGTACCTAAACGAGAAATTCCAAAAACTACCCCGTGATTCTTACCTGCCCGTACTCCTCTGTATTGAGGGGTTGCAAATCTGTCCCACTGGGAAACGATAATGGCTGCAATGCCCAGGACACAGATCACTATCAAGTAGATGAAGCACGGCTGAGGGTTGCAATAGAAAGAGTAGTAGAGCCAAGGAACAAAGCTGCCCATAATGAGAAGGGCAATACCAGAGTAGTCCAACCTAGAAAAGAGGGAGAAAAGTACTTAAGTTCAGCGTCCCAATTTGTTCCATTACTCTTGTGCATTTGAACAAGACTGTTGATGGACTGGCATAGTTTCCACAGAGCACCCTGCTTTGGCACATCTCTTGCCTATCTGCACACAACTGACAGCTGTTTCGAAACAAGACTCTCTTCTCATTGGGCATAAAGTATCCCAAGAGCACACTTCGATATTTAACTTGAGAAAATTGGAGCAGCTTACTTGCAATCACTGTTCTTTGACAGGCACACATCCCAAAACCCATATGTGCAATGATGTGGACTCACCCAAAGAATAACAAAGAAACATGGCAAAGATAGAAAAGCTTCAAGTACAAAGAACTTAGCCTGCAAGTCACAATTTCAAAAGTGCATGCAATTTGTCTTTCATCCCAAAAGCAGATCACATAATGCCAACTCCAGGTGTCCACCTTGGCCCTGAGAAGCTAAGTAATTCTAGAGCACATCCCAGAGTTTCAAAGTGCTTCACACACATCTCCTCAGCAACCCCTTTGAGATAAGCTAGTATTTCTGCAAATAGGTGGCCTCAGACAAGCCACTATTATTTCAGCTGCAGCCTGCTTAATGACTTCATCGCAGAGGCAAGGTTTCAACAGTGGACTTTCCAGCTCAGAGCTCACACTTGCCACTTACTTGGAGAAGAGCCTCGACACACCTTCTGAATGGCAGTAAACTGTATGGAAGAGCCACGAGAAGGAGAGGCAGAGAATGGCTCCCAAAAAGAACATTCCAACCACCACCTTCTCCTGCACAGGTGCTACAAAGGTCATGTTTGGCCGGAACATGTAGAATATTCCCAGACACAAGAAGAACACACAACCTAGGCAAGAAAAAGCAACATGATGACACCTGCCAAATTCTAACACAGAAACAGAGGTGTTGGAGCACCGTGTCAAATTCTTAAGTGCTCAATAGGCATCTACCACATTGTTCTAAGTCAACATTTCCTTTGGCAGAATGGGCTATACTTTAGAGCCCCTCAAGCTTAACTCATCAGTAACTGGCCTGTTTTCTGACAAGTTGCCCAACAAATTTATGGCTATAGCAGGGTGTGAACTCTGCTCTTCCCCATTCATCGAGTCAGACGCTACCATATCCTTCCTTTCTAGAACTGAATGCTCACTCAGCTCCATTTCATGGCCACTGCCAACTTTTGAATACATCAGCAGCTGCATGAAAGGCCTTTGGTGAGAGATCTGACAGAAACCAAGAACCGGGCTCAGTTTACTGCACTGAGGCTTTCTTTTGCTCACCGTGAAGAGGCACGGCAGTGTAACAGAAAGAAACTGGTTGCTGTATTTGCACTACCCCAACATGCTCTATGACTGAGGGCAGCCCTGCTTTGACCCAAGCACTCTGCCAAGCAAGACAGCTGTATGGTTAAAAATAGCCAGCAAAATTTAGGGCTAGTTTTATCCTTCCTGCGGAACCTGAAACATATGGTCATTGCAATACCAACACAAGCTAATTTGTGGCCTGTTCTATCATTAGCCTTGAGGGCCAAAAAGCACATGCAATTTACCTTCTTTCAAGGGCATCGCTGCCAAAACACCGTGCTGAGAGACAGCCACAAAGAGGCAAGTGGTTAGTTCCGCAGCACTGAAACCACGGTCTTTGCTCAAAGTCTGGCAGACACAAGAGGCCTTGGAGCCACCTCACAGTCCTAGGAAATGAGAAGTGTGCCATCCTCCTACTGGCAAGCACCAAAGTATCATGGCCATTTACTAGGAGCTGCAATGAAGTGCTGATGGCATTACAGAGAGCTCACGAAAACACTTCTGCTCAGCCATGTTAAGGGTTCCATGCACTGGGCTCACTGAACAACTAAAGATCTCCATCCATGGAACATTTCTTGCACCCTGCTTTCAACAAAAGAACAAATTTAGAGTCCAGTGACACCTTTAAGACCAACAAAGGTTTATTCAAGGTATGAGCTTTTGTGTATATGCACACTTTCAAATACATTCAAATACATACCTTCCATTCCAATGTATTTGAAAAATGTGTGCATGTGCTCGGAAGCTCATACCTTGAATAAACCTTTGTTGGTCTTAAGGGTGCCACTGGAATCTAAATTTCCCAAAAGTAAGATGCACTTTCTTCCTAAAAGCCGAAGCGGTAATTTGAGTGAATCCCCTACATGCAAGTATAATTCAGTACAAATAAGAAGCAAAACAGAAGCTGCATTCTTGTGCTGCAAATACTATAGTATCCCCTTGTGCATCATGCCCCAGGATATCTTGCCTTTGGTAAAGAGAAGCCCTATCTCCAGCCTCCACTGCCCTCACAAGACAGGATGTGCATCATGTTGACATCAAAGGTAATACCTAGTAGATGTGTCCAGATGTTGCCAGTCTCAGTGTGTATTCTGAAAATGCTTTTGAAGCATGCCCGGAAAGAGGGCATGGGTGGTCGGTGTCCATGCAACAGGTAGTCATTGTCCTTTAGCCAGTCCGGCAAGACATCAAAGGGGATGACACGCCATCTGCCCTCCCACACCTGAAGGATGTAAGAAGGCAGGATTAAAGTCTCCTATTGCTGCATATTCCCTGATGGACTGCGAGGAAAGAGGCAAACATTTACATGCAACGCATTCTGAGTGAACTGAAAAGGAAAGTGGCTCCACAGAACAGTTTGGCTACTGAAGCTTCAATACCACATGCTAGAGTTGCTCCCAGTAAGTTGACAAAACCAGGCTGATGCAATTCACTCATTTGAGAAACGGTAATGATACGAACTCTTTCATGGGGTACTGACTGCAAGGAAAACCAGGCGATACCAGTGACAGAACTTGGAAAGCCAGAGTCTCTACTCTTATTTTCAGATGCACTTGCCATCTGATTTCAAGC